GATGACCTCCAGATTAGATATCCGCAGGAGGACCTAGAAGACTTATTTCCTTTTGCTTGATTTCACGCAAATAAAGTTTTGGTTTAAGATTGTAATATTTTTCAATATCTGAATTATGTTACCTTCAATAAAGGCATCTTGTTTCCACATCTCGTTTGCATATCTATTTTAAAGATAGTCGCTAAGTAAAATAATAAGCAAAAGACAAATACATAACCAAGTGAATAAGACAGTAACCATTTCATATTCATACGTATTCATTCACACACATGCATTCACGAACACCCGCATATCATGTCAAAACTCATTTTTCAAAAACATCTCTCCAGCTAAACCATTGGTAGAAAAAGGCCTCCACTTCATTGGCCTCCATATCAAACAAGGGCCTAAAAACAGAACGCAATGGAGAAAATCGAGGAAACTCAGGCTGCATTCAAAGAGGATCTCGACCAAGTAAAGGGCGACGTAAGTTCAATGAAAGGAAATCTGAGTCAAGTCCTCATAGCTTTGAAAAACATTATTGACAGGCAAGACCAGATTCCCAGGGAAGCTTTCGAAGAAGTAGCCAAGACTATTGGTGTATCAAGTGGTCACCAACTAAGGAAAGAGTCAGAGGCAGGACTCTAGAAGTCACCTCCATTCGACCACCTCGGGGACGAACTAATGCTCGACAGACCGACAACTCCCTTAAGACGGGCGTGTCAAAGGGAATGTCACGGAGGCTCCCATCACTAATACGGTCCTCTCGAGCAAGTGATTGACCCCTTCGGTCTCGCTGCCCGCTCATCCATAATATCCCCCGACGCACTCGAGCTTGTCCTTCACGCGGATAACAACTCGTTCCTTTCGGGGGACTTTGGCCGTCTACCTTGATCAAGTCTCAGGTATCGAGAGCTGAACTCAAGTCACCGCCCTTTTGTTCAAGGGAAATAACTTGGGGGCTCTTGATCTGGATTGGGCTTACACTTTCCCTTCGAACTAGAAGCCCAAAAATAACCCAAATTAGAGACCGTTGGGCAACTCCCCACCCGACCGTTGGAGCACGTGACCCACGATCCCACGACAGCCACCTTAAACTGTCCTCCGGAAATCACGGGTTTAACCCTGTTCTCGCGAAGCAGTTGACCAGGGGGGAGTCCACTTGCTGGACTCCATACACACGTAAGCCCTGATAGTTCTTGTTATTGGGCCTCAACGTGGCCCAATAGTGGAAACCTTGGCCCAGCGTTGGAGGTTATAAATACTTTCTCTCCTAAGAGGGCCAGGTATTCAATTCATCTCTCTGAACTCATACTTGCTTGCTCACTCCGCAACTTATTTTTGAAGTGGTGAAAAACACAAGAAGGGGGGGTTGAATTGTAAAACTGAAATCTAATGCAATGAACAAGATATTTTTATCCTGGTTCGTTTGATCTCAAACTACTCCAGTCCACCCGTCAAGGTGATTTCGCCTCTCTCCAACGAGGTCTTAATCCACTATATTCAACTGAATATTACAGACTGCTTTAACAACTGCTAAAGCCTTCTTGATGCAAACCACAACCCGGTTTGTCAAGGAAACACTTTCTTACAGAGAAATCAAATCTAAGTGTGTGAATGTTTTCTACAAAACTGTATCACAACTGTGATGTATACACAAATTAAAGCTTAGAAACTAGATTGCTAAACAATGATAGAATATCAGAATGTGTAGTGTCTAGCAAAACTAAGAGAAAGAAGATTTTGATCAGCTTTTATGCGTGTAAAGATTTGGAGAGCATTAGCCATTTCAATCTTCAAAGTCTTGTTTATATAGCACTGAGATGTTGAACGTTGGATGCAATATTCTTGATTCAATGCTAATAACAAACTTTCCTTATCGAGCAGATCTTGTCTGGAATGAGGCCGTTGGTATTAATTTGCTTTCAATGCACAGTACCGTTGCTTACTTAATGCAAGTTCTGGCTTGGCTCATTCTGACTCTGCTTAGCTGCTGATGAACTGTTGTGTTTCTTTATCATAGTGTTGAGCGCAGTCTTGTTCATCAGGCTTCAGCATGTACGTGAGTTGATCATCTGATTTTGATATTCTGATATGGCAACTTCTGATGCTGATGTCAGGAACTAAATTCTGATGCTGAATAGGTGTGTTCTTGTTTATATCAATCAGAGTATCTACAAATTAGAGCATAACAATTTAGGCAGCAGATAGTTCATACATGAATCATATACATAATATATCTTTTCACTTTGTTATCATCAAAACTTAAATATAGGGTAGTAGATTCAAACTTTGTTCTAACAATTTTATCATCAGAGTGTCTTGCAGGTACTCTCCATCTCTTTTAACTTTTGCCCGAGTTAGCTGTGACGGTCCATTTCTGATCCGATAAGATCAAAAGCTAATATATATATATATATATATATATATATATATATATATATAGTTAAAATATTGATTAATAGTTTATATAAAATTGATTCAATCAGTTTTTAATATGGTTAATGAGTTTGCAAACATAAAAAAAAATTTAAATAGTAAAATAAAATTGCTTAATGAAATATAAAAATTAGTTAATACATTTATAATTTAATATATTAACAATATATATTTTATTATTTAATAAAGTAGTAAAAGTGGTTAATAAATTATAACTAATAAGTGATTAATAACCTATATTTTTATGGTTAATATAATTGTGAAATTTTTAATGATACAATATTGTATTTATATTATAAAATAAAATTTAAAAGTAAATATTAATTTTTTAAAGAAATATTATTTTAATAATATTATTTTAATAAAAAAAACTTTTATTTTATAAATATAGTGTATACGATATAGAAAGTGATGTCAACATAGAAAGACTGTTATTTATATGGTCCGGGAGCATCTTAAATGAAAAGCTAACTAGTCACATCATTTAGGTTTTTAGTCAATTAAGATACAAAGAGATTTAATGTGGCAACGAACTATTTGTGATAGCATAGTAGTAGTCAATTTAAATTAGTTGCGACACAGATCTGATATATACACTAGTATTTTTTTATGGCGACATGAAACACATCTGATATATATGTTTTGGAAGTATTTACTAACAAGATATGAAGGGAGTACAATTCATTTAATATGGGGTACCCATGTAATTTAAGTCCACATTGTATAATTTTTCTATAGAACCATTTTGTGTGTTGCGGAACAATTCAATTATAAAAATAAATATTGAATGATTCCTCTTTTTTACTTAAACTATAGTGATAAAGTATTTTAAAAAATTCTACCTAAAAAAATAAAAAGTATTTTAAAAGAAAATAAAATGTTATGTACAAATTACCTACAAATCTTTAAAGAATACGTAATTATATTTAGGACTGTTCGCGGTTCGGTTTAGATCGGTTTTAAGATAAAAAATCATCTGATCCAAAGATAAATTTACTTGCGGTTCAGTTCGATTTTAGATGATATATTAAAAAAATTCAATTCGATCCGATCCAATTTTATGCTGTTTAATTTGGATCGGTGTTTAGATATCTAAATTACACATTATATTTTTATTAATATTATAAAACTACTAATAAATCATAGATTTGATATAATATATAACATATAGTATATTAAAAATTAATATTACAAAATGAGAGTGATTGATTATGATTGAAATAATAAAAATAAATAAATTATACCAAACTAATAACTATTATTAAAAAAATTATTATCATATAATAATAATTTCACATAGCATATCATGCTAATAAAAAGTAAATAAGTATAAAAATATATGTATGTAGTTTGGTTTGGTTTGGATCGGTTTTGAAAAATTAATTCGAAATCCGATCCGAACTGATCGATTTTCACAAAATAACATCCAAACACATCCAATAAATTTCGATTTTTTACGATTTTCGATTTTTTGGATCGGTTTTCAATTTTTTATTTGAATTGGTTTGAATTTGAACACCCCTAATTATATTATAGTTTTAGTCTTAGTTTATTCTTGTTATTAATTTTGATATTTTAAATTTAAATAATTATAAATTTTCTCTTAGATATTTGTATTAAAAAATTATAATTTTTATTATTTTTTTAATGATGCCTGATTTGTGGAATTTGAGATCATCATATAAATTTTTTTGTGAAGCGCATAAATTTTTTTATAAGAATAAAATCATATATTAAAATATTTAGAAAATTATAAATATATTTTATGTTATAAAAATTATTTATATGAGATGAGAGTGATAGTTCAAATGATATGAATTAGTTAAATTAAATGAATATAAATTGATTGTCTAAGATTTAATTTTTGAGGTAATTTAGTTAGTGAATGTAAATTGTTGTGTTTTAATAAGCATCACAATCTGTAGGGTTTGAGCACAATAGTGCAATATCTATTATTATATCTGTAATTTAAAAAAATTGTTTAAATAAATATTTTTATTTCTCAGTCTAAATCTATAACTATCGGTCTCTTTCTGCTTCTTCGATTGAGTCTCAATCGTCTGTGAATCACCTTTTTCAAGCACCTTCTCGTTCTTCGATCAATCTTGATCGTGGTCGTGACCGTGGTGGCAGTAGAAACAGACTCTGATACCATGTTAATTTTGAAATAAAATGATTGTATTATTCATTGTTTTGGAGTGTACAGAACAATATTATATATACTGTTTGAGTAACAAAGTGTAACCAACTGCTTAATAACTAACTAAACAGAATTATAACAAACTGTAACAAACTGTTTAGTAACAAACTAAACAGAATTATTTTCATCATGTAATACTCACATCTCTACCTTTCTTTCTCACATTCAATGAAACGTGTAAGCAATTAAACACCATTAATAAAGATTTGGTAACTGTTGGGATAATTCATTTCCACATCCTCGTGGATTATTTTCCACCAGTTATCTTGTGTCATCCATTTTAGAAGCACTGTTTAATGGAATTTGCATCCAATAAATGATCCCAAACAGCCCTTACAATTAACAACACTAGAAAATTTGCATCTCTCTCAAGAAAAAACAAATGGAATTTCAAATAGCAAGAGGAGAAATTTTTCTAAGAGTCACAGCAATATTGTTCTTGGTATTAACAGTTTGTTTAATTGCTTTTGATACTCAAACCAAGGTTGTCTTTTTAGCTATTGAAAAGAAAGTTACTTATAAAGACGTGGATGCTCTCAAGTAAATAACTTTTCTTTATCTCTATTTATTTTTGTTTGTTTTTTTCTTTCTATTTTTTATGTGACAGTATATTGTTTTTTTTTTTTTAGGATCTTGCTGTATGTTTCATCTTCAGCTGCTGGATATAACATGCTTCAATTATGCAAACACTCTTGTTCTTCAATAGGATCTTATGATATGAGCATGGTTTGGATTAGTTTGTTACTAGATCAGGTAAATTATTCTTTTTCTGTTTAATTGAGAAGGCGTTTTATAATAATATAATTATATACAAATTGAATCTAGATTAAAGTATGTGTATTGAATTAGGCTCATATATATATCTAAATAAATGAAACAAATGAATGAAAAGGACTCAAACAAACCTTTGTACTTGATGAAAAATGTATATATTTTGTCTTTATTTGGTCAGGTTTGACTAACAAATAAGCAATATATATATTAATAATAATTTAGTCAGAATTTGAATTCAGATTTAAAGTCTCCACTACGCCAAAAATGATTTTTTGTATCACCTAATTTAATAGCACTTTTAAAAAAAATGCTATTAAAATGGAAAAAACACATTTATAATAGCACTTTTTAATCGGGCGCTATTATATAATACAGACTATGTAATTTTGATAGCACTTTGTACTAGAACGCTATTATTAAACTTCTTTAAGATAGCATTTTGTATAAAACGCTATTATTTGACTACCTATATAATAGCGTTTATTAAAAAGCGCTATTAATTAATAACACGCGGAAGATGATTACATGGCAAATCCTTATTGGTCACATTCGCGTGGACAAACATCACAAATCCAAGTCAAATTTTATTTCTATTTTTTATAAATCTATTACAATTAAGTAAACGAGTAAACAAAGTTTTTTAAAACTTCATTCACCAAACACGACGAGTTCATCGTCTCAGATCACCGGCGCCGTTGATTCTCATAACCGGAATTCCCCATTTTCAGGTTCCTTTCTCAATTTTGTTTTTTAGTTGTTTAATCGGAGAAGTGAAATTGATTTGCTTGTGTATTTTGAGTTTCATGCAGTTAAGGTTCTTGGTCTAGGGTTTTGAGATTTTGGATCAAGGTTTCTGGTATTTATGAACTAGTGTTTTAGATGCTAAAACTTGATTTGAATTGTTGCTTGATTTTAGGATTGATTACTCTGGTTTGAAATTAGGAATTGGGAATTAATCTAAATTGGGTTTTAATTTTGATGTTAAGTGTGTGAATTTGCATTTCAGAAAATGGCTTTAGGTGGAGGAGGTCCCCAAAGAGGAAGTGCAGCTGCTACTGCAAGCATGAGGAGAAGGAAAACAGCAGGTGGTGGAGCCTCTGGAGGAGCAGCTGGAACTATGCTTCAATTTTACACCGATGATGCTCCTGGACTCAGAATCTCTCCTAGATCAGTAAAAATATCCTCCCCACACGTGGACCAAAACTTTTGATAAAAAGCCGGATTGAAACCATGAGGACCGGGAGATTTGTCGGGATGCATTTGACTCAACGGCTCAAAAAGCTCCTCTTTCAAAATAGGAGCGGTTAGAAAATCATTATCCTCAACAGTAATGACATGATGTATTAAGTGAAACACCGGCTCGTATGTCCCTATTCTAGCTTCAAACAACTTATCGAAATATCGTTTTGCAATGCCACACATACCTTCTTGATCCCTGATTTCTTCGTCATCCTCCTTTTTAAGCATTTCAATTTTTTGAAAATTCCGCCGCATTCTGATCATTACTATCTCGAAAACCAGTAAGCTTCTCCCGAAGAGTATCTTTTTCCTCATTATTCTTGATTCTTGAAAAGTGTTTATGTTACATTCATGTAAGTTTCATTTCACTTTCTTATTTCAATCTGTTTGGAATTGTGTGTTCTTTGGTTTGAATCTGGTTATTGAAACTCAATGTCATGACATTTGTGAAAGCATTCTGATAACAGGGCTAGGTATTTTGTTTCTCATGGCAGCATTAGAACTGTTATGCTGTTTAGGATCGAATTCGGATTAAACTTGTGTTTGTTGTGTCGAAAAATGGCGCAATTCGTATCAATATCATGTTCATGTTAAATCTGAATACAAAATGGTGGTTGCATCTTTGCTTAATTTTGATTCGGCTTAGTAAAGTTGGTCGAAACATCGACACGACTATATGTAGTACTTGTGATGAGCATTGGTTTTATAGCTTTTGTTGCTTTGAGGCGTGACCATTCTAAGGCACTTTCGTGGTTCTTGAAGGCAGTGGAGAAGGGTGAGCCTCGCTCCATGGAGCTTCTCGGAGAGATATATGCCAGGGGAGCCGGTGTTGAGAGGAACTATACAAAAGCCTTTGAATGGCTTACTCTAGCATCTAAGCATCACCTCTACTCTGCTTATAATGGGATTGGTTATTTGTATGTCAAAGGCTATGGAGTCGACAGCAAAAATTACACTAAAGTATGATCATCTTTGCCTTTTTTGTGTTTGTATGGACTTCAAATTTTTGGGGAATGGAATGGGGACACACTTTATCGGTGGTATTGTGTGTCTATGTATGTCTATGCTTAATTTATGATATCTTTTTCTGAATTACAGGCAAAAGAGTATTTTGAAAAGGCTGCTGAAAATGACGAGGTTGGTGGCCATTATAACCTAGGTGTCATGTTTCTCAAGGGGATTGGAGTGAAAAGAGATGTGCGGTTGGCATGTAAATATTTTATAGTGGCTGCCAACAATGGTCAACCAAAGGCTTTCTACCAACTTGCAAAGATTTTTCATCTTGGTGTTGGCTTCAAGAAGAACGTTCCATTGGTAAGTTGATTCTTCGTTTGTCTTATTTTTAAATGCAAGTGCTGATTATAAGTTAATGATATAAATGGGAGTTTTCTGTTGCAGTCTAGATATTCAAATCAGTATATTATTTGTATTAAGACTATGTTAAGTTGGGTTTTCTGTTCTACACTTAGGGATCCACGCTTTACCCTCGAAAGAAGGGAAACTTGTCGAATATCGAGGTAGTGTTGCATCGTCATATGGATGGGGAAACCACTGAATATGAAGAATTAAGAGCTGAAAACGGTGTTTTTTCGTTCTATTATTTATAGAGAATTCTAATTATAGATTCTTATCAGAAGTTCCTAAGTGGTTTATTTTATTCTAAAACTTTGTTATAGTCTCTCAAGGAGAGTTGAGGCTCAAGAGAGTTTGTCGGTAGCCATAGAGGTATATGCAGATTGTTGGCAACTTCAGTTCTCTCTGGTTTTTATGCTTATATTACTTGTATTAATTCAAAATGTTCATCCCTTCGCTGCTATTTATTGTCATTGCAGGCTCACAATAAGGAAGATATTGAAAAATTCAGTAAACGGACAGTGAAGGTTGGTCGTTGTTTCTTAGACATGTTTATTTTAGGACCTTTAATTTTTTTCTTCCGTATGATAGATTGAAGCAAGGTTTTGGTATTATATTGTTAAGGATATATTTCTATATTGTAGGTGACTAAAGAAAATAATCAAGCATGCAAAAAACTTTTAAAACTCATGGGAGTGCCCGTTGTTGAGGTAACATATTGCAATACTTCAATGAAATAATATATTGTACTATGTGTTAACCATTTGGCTAAGGCTTCAAATTCTCCAGGCACCCTCAGAAGCAGAGGCTCAGTGTGGTGCTCTTTGCAAAGTTGGAAAAGCAACTTCACATCTGCTGTTTGTCTCCTTCTTGAAATCTAAAATATGATAAAATTATCTAAGTTATAATCTTTTTCAAGCAGACTTCATGGAAACGAATAGAAAATTAAATGTTACTATATATTCTTACATCTTTTTATAAAACCATTTAAATTTCAAATATATTGTTTCTTTAATATTTTTTGCATTTGATAATTCTATATTTTTTAGTGTTGTTCTTAACAAGTATGGAACCAGGATTCACAATTTCATTCTCATTTATTGCTTTTGTTTTTTTTATGTCTACCATCAATTTAAAGCCTCTACCGGAGAGGATAGAAATGGTTTGTGTTAGCGTCGGTGATGTGAAGAAGTTGTTGAAAGTGATGCAGATGGAATCGATGAAAGCGAGGTTGAGAGGTTCTTGTGATCTTATATTCTCTTTCTTTCTTTCTTTTAAGTACCTCCCTGTGGCATCAGCTTTCATAACTGATAGTTTCACAATAACTTCCGTCAATCTTCATCAAGGTATTTAACTTTGTTTTTCTTCCATCTGAATTAAATTTCCTTGTTGTTGTATTCACCTGCAGGTCATTATTTTGATGGAGGGGGTTTTATGTCAGCTTCACCTTTTTCTGCTGCTGTTAATGCTTCATCTGTTGGGTTTACAAATAGTTCTGGGGGCAATGGTGGAGTGCTTCCTGCACGGACGAATCCTTGTATGGCTCGCTCAGTTAGTGTACATGGCTGCTCTCAGATGCAGGGCCAGTCATCAGTTCCTGCCCGAGGTTGTTATGCTATACTACTATATATTATATCCCTTGATCGAATTTTACCTTATCTAGTTCTGAGTTTTAATTTCAATGTATTCTTTAGTTTAGTTATGCTTGAGCTTGAGAAATGTCTTTGTCTGTGTATATGTAATCCTTGAGATCACATGTTTCAGTTAAATAAGTTCATATATTATATCCCTTGATCGAATTTTACCTTATCTAGTTTTGAGTTGTGATTTTGATGTAGTTTGTTAGTTAAGCTATGCTTGAGCTTGAGAAATGTCTTTGTCTGTGTGCAATCAATACTAGGGTAGTAAGATCACATGTTTCATCTAAATGAGTTCATCAACCTTCTTTTCTGAACTCTTCATACTTTGTCATTCTTCTTTAACTACTGCTGCACAGTGTTGTGGATGTAACTCTTGGTTTTTTAAGATGACCCAAATGATGATTACATTGATGGTTTAGAATTTGAATATGCTGTGATAAAAAAACAACACTGTTACTGCATTCAGTAAAGCAGAGTCTTATGTTGGAAATCGGACAGCTCACATTCTGAGCTTGTGCTTCGAATCTGATTTGATGAAGTCAGAATGTGAGCTATTGGATCTATGGTAAGCATTTAGATTTGCTGACTGCGTTGGTTATTGACTGCAGTAAATCCGTGTCTTTAAAATATTGTGCATAATGATATTATAACTACTTAGATGACATATCATACTAGTATTGTGTCATTTTGAAACAAAACTTTTATGCACATGATATAACCTTCTTTTTTTTTCCTTTTCACATTGTTTCCAATTTACAGAGGAAAAGTTCGATAGTTTCAAGGATGCAGGCACCAATGTATCTCCTGCTGTTTCAAGGAGGGACATGGCTACCCAGATGAGCCCAGAGGGAAGTTCATGCTCCCAATAGGAGGACTTCTTTCTCTGCTTCCACACCCCCTGCCATGCCTGTCACTGAGTTGCAGAGTGCCTCTCTCTCTAAAATGGATATCAGGGATGTGCAGGTAGATGAACGTGTAACAATGACAAGGTGGTCCAAGAAACACAGGGCTTTATTTTGTTTAGAGAATTTGATTGTATGTTTTTGGATTTGGATTGAAGTACTCATAGATGGGCATCTACAAATTTGGCTATGCAAACGCCCTCTTAATATTCTATATGTTATGATATTTGGAAACAATAGGATTTGGTAATTTAAAATGTTATTTGGTATTTGATGGATCATAATATATATGCAATGAGTAACTTAAAGCGTTATTTGTGTTGAATTGAATATAGTTATTTTATATTTACACCAAAAAAAATGATTGTGTAAGAAAAAATATTGTACTGTACTTATTAAAAATATTGTATCAAATATGTACCATTTATTAGCACTTTATTTGAAAGCGCTATCAAACATATGTTATATATTAGCGCTTTTTGTTTAGAGTGCTATAAAAAAACAAACAAAAAACATGCAAAATACTGACTTTGATAGCACTTTAATTAAAACGCTATTATAAATTGGTACTTTAATAGCGCTTTTAAAGTGCTATTAAATAAGAAATATTTACAATAGTGGCGCGGTTAATAGCACTTTTAAGCGCTATCAAAAACAAAAAAAAGCGCTATTAAATAGCTTATTTGGCGTAGTGCTCCTAATTGATTATTAATGTTGGAATATTTGAAAATTGTTAGTGTGATTTTTTTATTGAGTGATAATATTTCAAAAGTGTTTGAAACATAATATATTAATGACGATGAAAGTCTTTAAATTTTTTTTTGAATAATTTTAACTTTGCATCATCATTCATTCAGTTCACTAATCAAACATAATATTTTTGTTATTTTAACTTTATCTCAATTCGATTCAATAAATTTTTTGAATAATCTATCTCTAAGATTTTGTTTGAGAATTTAGAGAGGAAGGGAAAGAGGATTTTGAAAAAAAAAATTTAATTAAAAGTATTTCGAAGATATGTTTTTATTTATAATACAAAATTTCTTTAATTTGAAGAACTTAAAATTTGTATAGAA